TTAAAATCTGCGACGTTTGCGACAAAATTCTTTCAAGTCTCCTGTAATACTTTGGTTAGGCATGTTGTTCACAATTTCAGTGCTACCAGATTGTGGATCGACACTCGGTTGATAGGAGTAAGACTTTACTGCAAAATAAAAATTCAAGATAAAGTATTCCTCCCATAAAGAAACACCTTGGGCGTGACAGTCTGTATTCGTGATAAGGTTGGGAGTGGGGAATTTCAAGCTGTACATGGGTAATCAACCTACTTCATCCACTTGATGAGTTGCAGTCAGGACAGAACGCATGGTGGACCAAGTATTCAGGAACGACCACATCTACTCTCCAATTTTCACTGATGAAACTTCGAGCCCACAACTTGGTGGGGATCGTATAAAATTGAGTCAAAACCACAAAACAGTTAGATTCTCAACGAGAGTTGAAGCATGGGCTAACGCAAGTGGCCGCACTGTTCAGTTCTTAACACTGAACCTGGATAGCAAGAGATCAGTCCACCTGGTAACTCTCAATGAGTACCGAACGTATAGTGGATGACTTTGTCAGGACCGATCGCATCGACATAAGTTGTGAGCTTTCGACTGATTCTCCACCTATCACGTCACTATTGTAGAAAAAATGACATACAGCGAAGCAGCTGCGAATCAGTTGCGTCTCCAGCAAGAGTCTACTTCGCTCGCATCGAAGCTCTACACTCTCTGGTTAATTTTGTTATTGCCTGAAACTTCATTAGTACAGACAGTTCAGTGAATTACGTTGAGCGATATCTAACACGGGAATTACCAGCAGCATTTGGAACGTGTCTTGTGTCTTTTGAGTCGGCCAAATTGGGGAGAGTTATGATCATTGTATCGCGCGCGCGGAGCAAAATGGCGCAGAACGGTTGGCCTGGACAGTGTGCATATAACGCGTACCGTCCTCCTCAATTAAAAAAAGCTTATGTCATTCCCCGAAATTGGTTGTTCAGACACACTGTTTTACATTGCCATCCATTTTGGCGATCCTAGCCCATGGCGTACATCCACAGAAGAATCGAACATCTGACAGTCCTTGAGAGATTCAGTTGAGTCTCTCGTGGAAACCAAATGGATTTGCAAATGGGTGCATTCCTCGAAAACAGTCCAATTCGGATTCAAGTAGAACGGACATAAGGTTGACGGAAACTCGGGGACTGCGCCTACCTGATGAGCCCCAAGAAGGGCCGTCGAAGAGTTTTCAGCAAACTTGCGAGTAGTTTCCTTTATGAAAAATCGGACAGTCCCTTTTCATTTCAGGCTCACAGTGGGATCATGTCTCTTCAACATGCGGTCCTAGCTGTTCTGGTAAAGGTGGTTGGAATCCCTCTGTATACTGTCCTGAAATGACTCCCATCGGTTACGAATAAAAAAGTAAGCAGTTTAGGGTAATAAACATTTAATTATCCTCAGAATAATTACACAAATGTCTAAATCACACCAGGTCAATAAACTGAAGAAGAACAAGAACAAGAACAAGAAAGGAGGTTACTCGATCGGCTTCAATGCGTTACGAGTGTTGAAAATGCGCACCATCTGCATGAGGTCATAATTCCACAAGACGACACTTATAGAACCCAGCATAATAGTAATATATAGTATGAAAAACACACGATCAACAACCTTGGCCAATGTATGCCATTCCATGAGAACAAGTTGCTTTTGCATCTCCTTGAATTGACGTGTGTCGAGAAAATCAAGATCCCCTCTTAGTTCCCCCAGCAAACTTAATCCCTGGTTTCTGTCGGAGTTTGTCTCGCCATCCTTCTGCTGTCCTTGGAAGCTGGCTTTTTTAGTTGATCCTCGATATTCCTCCACACCGACTCCCTCTCTGGAGGGGTCCGATAAACTGGGTTTCAAGCTTTCGCTCTGGATTCCATTTCCAATTTTTGCATTTTCTTCAGTAGTTGCTGCTTCCAGACCTATGCCCACTGGGATTCGTGGAGGCAGGGGAATATTCTGACGTAGATGCAGCATTCTACCAACTCTGTCAATTATCATCTGTAACGGAAGGGTTACGAAAAATAGACAGAATAAGAGCACGTGGTGTTTTTAACATAAGTTGCAACTGATAAACCATTAGAAAACATATGAAAAATGGCCTGGTATGTATGAACTCTACTACTGCCATCGATTCGCAAAGTGGGAAACTTTTCATGCCTGTAATTACGGTAATACCTTAGCTTTATTCTCGGTCTGATCCTCCCACACTAGCCTTTCCAGCAAAAGAGCCACCAAGGGTGCACAAAGTGTATTAAGATCCGAGACCCGAGTCAAAAGCGCATGTATAGCGCGTCGTGCCTGAGGCGACAACATTCCGGGAATTCCGATGCCTCCTGGAAGTGCTGCAGGCAGCCAGTACTCGGCCGATACTGGATCATGCTTAGCTGTTGGGGCCACACTTTCGGCCAATCAGACTTCGCCCTGATGCTAGACTTGCAGTCAGCCCAGTCTTCTGGCCAATCACGTGCAGGTTGGTCTTCCTGGCCGAAGTGGCGCCTCGGCGTGTGCGGTAAAGCCGTTTTGGTGTACTGTCTATCCACCGAACACTAGACTGCAAATACGACCTCATGTTGACTACGGGAGCCTACTCTTTGTTCGCAGAAGCGTCACTTCAAAGCACTGACCTTGCAATGGCCTGCCAACCCCCTAGGTTAGACTCTGTGAAGTTGATCCATAAGTGACTCTCCATTAGGTAGAACGATTAAGTTACACTGACGTTAGTGACAAGTTGTATCGCGAATCGCTCTTCGCTTGAGCCTTGTCGATTGAAATTATGTCATTGTAACCTGTGTTCTAAATGAGGTACCGTTCAGAAAAGCCCGGTAGAGCGAAAGCACTGGTGGAATATCATACGGAATGTGTAGGAACAGATCCGTGGCCTGTAGAGTCTCGATCTCAAGTTGCGGAGTATGAGGAGAGATCTTACTACTGCTTTAAGAGCGGAACTAAAGCGTGCACGTGGATTAATGATAGTTCATTCCTGGAGTGAGCAAAAAACTCGCAAAGGTAACCAACATAAAGTACACGGCGATACAGCATCAGCTGGGTAGTCCAGACCTCGAATCAGGCTATTTATTGCATTGTAAATAATCACATAGGGGGTCATAAAATCTCCGTGAGTAATTTTCACGCTGATCTCAACTCCTCGGTGGATTATCAGTGGCACAGAATCTGCTCCGTATAGTGCCGTGACAGTTGCCACGACCTGGTCAGGGGAAGTCATGACAATACATGAATCCTGCTCAAACAGTGCAAGGGGTTTCATCTCACTAGTACGCTAAGCATGTTGTCAGTTTTGCTTCTAATGCTCACTGGTCATATCGCCCCGTAAACAGCGACACAGACAGTTTTGGAAGGCTGAGAAGCCGAAACACTGATCGCCGTTTGCCATAAAATTTTTTAAATGGCGCGACCCAATGGATAAAAGTAACGAAGAAATGAGATGGTGATCACCTGATAGAGCTCACTGTCTACATGCTTCAAAATGCAAAGTGCATATTGTGGTATTCCCTACTGTTTACTGACTTGATCTGCGTTGGAAGCCCCCATCGTAAATAGGTTTACTACCTTCCATGATGCATATTGCACGCCTTACTGCTATCTTCCAGCTTTTTGATTAACCGAAGGGCTATTCTACAGGATCAACTGAAATACGGCTATTGTTTTAGCCAGTTTCTTGTTGCTAATTCACGGCTGTTATCGGTAAACCCCGAAGGTCATTGGCATATTCCGAAATACGGTGCACAACGTGTTGCATATTATGGGTGTAGATTCCTTTCTTCTATTTTTTATATTGTACAACGCGATTCCCCCTTTTTGTTATTTTGGTTGGCGTCTATACCACCCTTCTTGTTTTTGACCTGAACACAAACCGTTCTCCGACCTTGTCATCGGCCGTGTTGTTTAAGTTCACACCTGATTTCGCTAGCTTGTAAACGCGTGACTTTGAATCAGCCTGGACTTTGAGGTCTGTTAGGAATTAGCAGTTCTTAAACCGGTGTATAGGAGCCGGCATAGTCCCACGATTTAAGGTTTGTAAACTTTCATCATTTTATTATTGTACTCATAGTACCGCATCTGTAGATAAACCTCCATTTGAAAGATTTGGCTTTTGGGGTTTTGCGCGTAACTCGACGTGGTCCAACAGATTGCCGGAATCAATCTATAATGGAATTATACAGACGATATATTTGTCAGCTTCAGGGAGTCTTTTGGTGCTGGTTGTAGAGCTAACCTGCAGAAAGTAATTAATTGTATGTTTACTTGGTTTATTAAGAGGGCAGCAGATGGCATTAGGAGTGCTGTTTTCTGATCACGTGACGTGTCACAGCTGTGGGTAGAAATATCCCATAAGAATGGGTCACATGCTCCCTCCTGTCGTGCAAATGCTTTCTTTTTTGAAATGAAATGGGCCTATTAAGCTGGGCCGAATACCCTGGCCGACTTTATCGCGTAGCGATTTACACGCTTACTCCGGAGAAAAACTTGTAGAAGATAAGCACCGATTCAGAATGATCATGAGGTCAGTCAACAATAACTTACGGGAAGAACGCGCACCAGAATTGGAAACAGATCAAAGCAACACATATACACACATCCAGAGGCTTTAACATGGTCCCTTTGGGACACTGAGACGTCCTAATTAGGCTGAGCTATTCGTTTGTGTCCACTGCACTCGAACAATCACCCAACTGCGTGAACTCCATTAGGAAGTCTGTAATCAACTACAGGTGAAAAATCACCCAAATTGAGCTTTCAGAGTAGAACAGACTTTATTACACTTCTGTAAATGTGACCCGGAATCACCAGGAAAAGTCAACAATGACTTACAGACCAGCCGCAAAGTAACATTCAGCTTTATCTAGTTATGCATGAAATTGGCTTGATTTCGACAACAAATCGAATGGCATTGTAATAAGGCTATGAACAAGTGCCACGACTGGGGCTACTTCAGGGGACTGGATGAGTGCACGTTAACTCACTCGACGTGCCCACAATGGTGGAGGGCGACCATCCGTTCCACGGTAGAACAGGTTCACCACCATGGTAGCCAGAAATTGGGACAGTGTGACCAGAACCATATTGAGGCAGAAGAATACGCCTGACGTTAGAAACAAGAAGAAAACCAAGCAGCATGACGTCGATAATTGCCGGGGTGAATATAAACAAAATCGATGTAGTTCACAAGACGCAACAGAGGCTCCATCTTGGTCATCATAAACCCAGAGACCTGAAGAATCGATGTCTGGAGAGTTTTACTTGGCATCTGGGGGGTACAGTCTATTGACTGTTAGCATTATACATCCATGCCATTTAGCTATCGGTACCTACCAATTTAAACCTAGCACTTTAGTTTGCCTGCACTAGCAGTCGTCCGAACGCCAAACAAACTGAGGTGAGCCAAATTTGAACTTTTATGAGATCGTTTATTAATGGCCGTACGTAGTTACATCACAGTAACTGCCCGTCTGCAGTGAGCAACTTCCAAACATATGATAACTCTTGGGGGAAAAGAGTGTAGCAAAACCAGTCACTCATAATAGAGAATGAACAAGATGTCCTCTAGAACGCAACCAAAAATTTCACGGTGGCAGGGACTTATCGCTCAATACGAAATGCTTTGTTGTTATTATCTAAGGCAGCGATATCTTTTGATCGTAAAAAGGTTACCATGTCACATAAAAAATTTGTCAAGCGAGACTGCAAGGCATCAGCTGAGCAAACAGAAGACGTATTTCTCCTTTGAGGACAGTAAAAGGACTCGTGTACGTGGACCTGTTGGGTGGAGATAACTTGACAAGCGCACCATTTTGTCACCGGCTTACAAGGACATGTGTCAAAAAGCAGTGACCTTGAGGCTGATTAAGTATGCACTGGTTTAGGAGGCGTAATACACTTCACAAGAAGTGCATCTGAAAACCAGTCACGAAAGAATCGATGCCAGTTTGACATTGCCTTCAAATTCACTTCAAATTCGCCTATTCGGAACAATAACTGTAGTGTTACTGAAGGTTATATTGCTTCAATTCCACTTCTAGACAGCTAGTTAAATTAGTAGTCTCTGATGTCGCGTTCCCATAAGCACCGCTTCTATCCATTCTGACTGAGTGCTTTCTGGGCACTGTAGGTACAGGAAACTCACCAATCAGAGGGAAGTCTTTCACCGCACTCGACATTGATTTGGCCAACAGTAGAAGTAGCACGAAGAAAGCCACGAAGATATTTATTCCTAGTATGGGAAAGATAAATTGGAATAGACGCAAATGAATTCAATAAACTTCGCGGATTGTAATCTATAAACGAACGAGATTTACTAGAACGAAGTAACACGAGGTCCTGACTATCAGAACTCAGATAGCCCAGTCGTAATATAACACAGCATCAACTCTGGTTGTTAGCCTACTGTGTATAAGCCCAAGTGTGAATTTCGTCAGACTTATCTGCCTTCTATGTGACTTACTGGTTCGTTAATTTACTGGGTGCACCTATATTGATCATCTGTGCTGAAAAACCGAGAGACCGTTTTCCTTCCCGTTGGGAATCATTAATACTGTGCACCTCACTACCTTCTGCCTCGTAATGAGCGTTCACTTAGCCAGGATATAGAGGTACTCGCTCCTCACTTGCCCAGTCCGGTGACCCGTTGATGACCAGCTTCTCGACGTACAACATCTCAGCTAAGAGGCTCCCGCAAATTTTGTGATTTTCTCCCGGTTTGAGCAGATTAGTTAAAGTTTGCAGGTTTGCATCTCTTTCAGCGCATTCTCACCTCTTGAAAAGTGAAAAACCCACCCATAAATGAAACTACTCACAAGGTTGCTGAAAACTCTTCGACAGCCCACGACCGGTTTCGCCATTCTTGGGACTCATCAGATAGGCGCAGTCCTCGAGTTTCCGTCAACCTTATGATCTACTTGAAACTAAATTGCACTATTTTCGAGAAATACACTCATTTGCAAATCAATCTGGTTTTCACGGGAGACTCAATTGGATCACTCGTCTATGATGTCCTCCAGCTGAATGTGCTGCACACAGGCCGCCTCACGATTCAGTTGGCACGGTATTTGAGATATCGCAGTATATTTTCATAAAGGAAACCACTCACAAGGTTTTGTACTCCCTGACAAAAATAGGTAGCCCCAAGAAGGGAGAAACCGGTCGTGGGCTGTCGAATAGTTTTCAGCAACCTTGTGATTAGTTTCCTTTCATTCAGCTGGAGGACATCATAAACGAGAGATTCAATTGAGTATCCCATGCAAACCAATGTGATTTGCAAATGAGTGTATTTCTCGAAACACCCACCCAGTTTTGGGTGATCTCGCGGGTTTGCGCTGTACCCCTTCAGACAGGTACTACAGTGTTTCATTGGCAAACAGAAGAAAAGAGAAATGATTATGTCGAAACCGAGACGGAAAGGAGAAAACCGCATCTATCGTATGGTTGAAAACAACGGGTACTCCGGCAGTTTTTGTCGAAAGCTGGAAGGAGAAGGCTCCCAACAGTAATGGGAGGAGCATATAATTCTTCCATACATCAAGAACATATCTGGATTGGTAGCAAGGCTACAGCCACCGAAAGGAACCTTTTTAGCCCAAAAAACAGGCGTTACATTCAGGAAACTGATACCAAAACCGAAGGACAAGATCGACGATGGCACAAAAACAACATTGTGCATCGAATCAAATGCGAGCGCTACAAAAATATTTTACTGGTCATACTGTAATAAAGCTTTCCACACGGGTGAATGAACACAATGCAACAATCGAAAGGCACAATCCATCATCTATGATTTCCATACGTGAAAATCAGGAGGGACACGTCTCGTTTAATCTAGAAAAACGCGAAGATCTTGGCAGCCTGAGGTACGAGACGCCAAAGGGGACTCCTAGAAGCATGGTACTCCACGGTGTATCATGAACCGATATATCGAAATCGATCCTGTCTAGGCATCACTACGAGCAACGGGCTGCCAACTCAGTGGTGGCACTGAGTCAGTCCTGGCCTTCTGAGTGGCAAACCGATAAGTGGGACCTAACTGAACCGCCTCATACGATATGAATGTAGCCTCAACTGCTTCAGTCTCATCACCCTTGCACAACATACAGTGGTCCACGCCAGCTTCCTTGTGGCCTTGAGTAAACGCAACACCCAGGCTAGTTACGGTTTGACTGCTGTGATTCCTAAGCCCATGAGGTGACGAGAGTTCGATATCTTGTTGAACCATGCCACTACATGCGTAACAATACAGTGCGCGATAATCATAGTACGATGTCCTCAGCAAGCCAATCAGTCAACAGAGACACGCAGTGAGTCCAATGCAAGCATTGAACTTCCAACATAGACGCCGTGTTGGGCGCGCTTCGTGTGCAGCTGGAGTTGAGGGAAGGGAAAAGATCATGCCCAAGTCATGTGCCACTGGTAAGAAGATCCGAGCGAGCACTGAGATGATTTTCGGCTTGGGGATCCTAATGAGCTCGGTGGTTGACAAAATTTAGCCTTCATTATTACCGCGATTTCGAACCTACCGCGCCACAAGGGCGTTTGCGGTAATTGTGTTGAGTTGTTTTTGCCTGAAGTCCAAGATAAGATGAATTCAGTTCATCATTTGTGTGGAAATTCACACATTGCTGATGAGACGGTGGACGGTTGAGCTAGTTCACAATTGGTAACTGTCACAGATGCTGATTTCAAGAACTACATGAGCACTATTGATCCTATTCAACAACTTTGGATGGTCGGGGTTTTCGCGCAAAACCGTTCCAGATGTACAACTATTGTATAGGCTGTTTCCAAGTCCCTCTTATTGGTTTAAGGCTTTCCTTGCTAACCAATAGACCAGGCTAATCGAATGCGTTGTTGCACCCCGCGTTCCCAGCAGCAATGCGGTTAACACACATCTGAAAAAGCCGTGTTCAGAGAGCTATTGGAAACAGAATATTTATGAGGTTTTTGGGCGCCGAATTTGAAGTGTTCCCGCATGGTACATTTTACTGACCTTGTGAGAGGGCGGTTCCCATGCAGACGAACTAACCGAGTGACTGCTAGGGAAACAAAAAATCCTATTCAATGCACGCAGTTATTCAGGCCGGATTCTCCGTGGTTACATATGCCGGGGGTAGAGGCAATTCGAATAAGGTTGGTTAAAGCTAGCTTACTGTGGTAAAAATGAAACCTGGATGCACTACATTCTCTTGTTAGTGTAGACCGACCAAAAAAGGCGAGCCAGATCAGCCGAAGTGATACTCAAAAGAGAGTGACGTGAGTTCGCAGCTTCAAGTGTATCTTTCTGGTAACGAAGGCATGACGAAGGCTTATTAGTTTTCAGAAAAATGCATTTCATTAGCAACATTCTTCACACACTAGTAGGATATTGATACTTACTTCATAAACCATGTTTTTGGCCGAAAAATCACTTGGGTCCCTGCATGTGTTCCAATAAAAAATATCCTCGAGGCAAATGCATGAATCATAGAAGAAGCCTTGACTACTAGATTGAGAGGAATTGCGGATGTACTGTTTACGACACTAAACCTGAACAACAGCAGTGGATGCTGCTGGAAGTCCATCCAGCCAGTGCACGGTCGAAATCGAGGTTTTTTTAAATTGATTTTTCCAGTTGATTCAAAATTTCCCCGCTGCGGCAACCCAGACCAATAGCTGGGGATGAGGAGGTGACAAGAGGCCACTTCCACTTTCACTTCATTGGCTGCAGCCTTAACACCCGGCATATGCGTACCACGTGACCTTAAGGCTGAGCCGGGCGACCCAGAGTGAAATGCGTACCGGGCGAGAGGCGCAGTCGCAGTTCGTGAGCTGGGTCAGACTTAGCAGTGAGTGTGGACAGACAGCCAAACTTGACGCGACCGGTCCCTGCTCGCAAACGGGAAGATCGATAACCTCCGATGGGCTGGGCGCGCGGCCAGGGTGCGGCGGCGGGCAGCCAACCGTGCCTGATTTTTGCAAAGATAATTTCGTGCAAAGGATTTTACGCAGCATTGCCACACGACTATCAGACCAGCGCCACCAATTATGTGATGATCTACGGTGTCAGGTCATCTGTAGACATCATAAAATGATGTGGCAGATGTAACCAAATAGTCAAAATTTGTACTGGGATTGAGCGGTTGGACGAGGTTATCGGGGAGGTTTATGAATTGGAGTTATGGTCTTTCAAAACAAACTCATTGTGGAACCGGTCGGTATAGGGAAGTGGTATTGTAGCAAACAAATTTGGGGTTTTGAAAGTAATCTCTGATCTTAAGGAAACTGCTTAGGGGACAAGGGCTCTGATGTTAAGAAGATAGCCGCACAAATCGAATGCACTGATATGATAGCAAAAACAAACAGAACCACATAAAACTCGGTTGGGAACTTGATCAACTGCTCACCATCTGACAGGGAACAAGCATCGCATTCATCCGATCGCTGCATTCGATATAATGTTCAGCACACTAAGTGGTAAACTCAAAATTACTGAACCCAACATTGTTCTCAAATGGAAACCAGATCTGTCTAACCAGAGGCCGCTTTTCGTTACTTCTGAATCACCGTGATAACCCTTAAAACAAGCCATTGATATGTAATTTTCTGCATCTATTTACTACTGAAGCTGAGATAAAGAAAATGCGTGCAAATTGTACTCTTGTGTTCTCTTTACAAATCCATACACGAGGGAGCTATTACGCACTTCTCAACGCTTGATTCATCTGCTACCCCGTTGAACTTGGCTGCGGTCGACGATGATGCAGCTGATATCAGAATTAAGTTGCACCACACACTGAACATGTGACCACGAGTTGGCTCATTACTATTCATTGCCCTGGTCAGTTACCCACTGCTGTCCCCGCCTTAGTGCCTTGGTACCGGAAATAGACTCGCTGACAAAGAACAAGACTACTTTATTGCAACAAGCGAGTGTAAAGGTTACAACGACTTCGCGCTACTTAAAGAGCACGTTTTCGAGATCATTCCATACTGTCTGATCGGCGTGTAGTGAACACCAGTCAACATGGACCGTGTTTTTATGATATGCATGAACACTTATCATACTCGGTCGTGCTTTTGTGGCGTATCTGAACATTCATCGGCTTCTTCTGAATTGCCTGAGTGATTAACTAGCCTGGATGCTTGCCAGCTTCCCTGTTGAGATTGTGGTGGAGTTTTAGGATCTCAGGAGGTTCCGAGAATCTGACCGTCCTGAGACTCACCTTAGCTGTGATGTTACCACAGGTTGCTCATGCCAGTTGCCAGTGCACGAACCTCAAAGAGTTTCATGGGTGTTCCACTGAAAAGCCGGAAAATAACTTGAGGAATGGGTTCCATGCTTTGGAAGGACAGGATTTTCTGACCCCTTCAACTTCAAAGTCATCAGTTCACACAGTCGTACGTAAACAGTAAAGCATGAGACCATCGTGATCAGAAGGGAAATTTAAACGACTTACCTAACATCATTTTGGCAGGTGAGTCCGGAGGAAGCCAGAAGACAACTAACGTGAGCAGAGACAACAGTAAACACGGGATGATCAGGATAAACATGTGGAAACTGGGATTGCGGTAGAGTCGCACGCGGAATCTCAGCACCGGAAAATACAAGGCTTCTTTTTTGTTGTCGGTAGTGTACTGAACGCGGTATCGTTTAATGGACCGAATCTAGAGACAAAAAGAGAAATTTCCTATAGATGCTGTTGAGTAGATATAGGGGCTCGAGTACCAGTGTGTAAATGTTTTGCCGCCTAGCTGCAATGCTGTGGAAATTCACACAGACGGCTATAACTTATCACAATCCGTTCAAACAAAGTAACAAGTGCATAACCACTGACTTTCGAGCATTGAAAAGACAAAGTCTTTGGGAGGGACACAAAGTCACGTTCTCTTGCTTATCGGGGTGGAGTGGGGTGTGTGATCCGTCAAATGAGCTGCTGCGGATGTCGTCTCTCGTGGTGTATGTGCGCCTGAGTTCCACATTGACCCTCCGCACCTCCGCTTGATGGATCTCGTGTGAATTTGACAACTGGCATGGCGTTGATGTAACCCGGCTACCCAAATGACTTTGGTTCCAAATTTATGTAGACTACCTGCGACCCCAGGCAAGTGATCAACAACGGATTTGTTCGTCAAGTTTCATGTTCTTCGCTTTAAAACAAGGTGGAGAACAGAATCCTTACCACGCAAAAGTTAGGATGACTGATGTGAAGCCACCTCTTTATGAGAGCCACCAGTCTCATTTGGATCCGTACTTTCTGCAGTCTTATTGTAGATGACATCCGTGACACCTTATTCACTCCCACCCCGGTGACACTCCTTGGTACCGTGTGGCGTCAATGATCGATATTCTATTTCAAGCTTATTTGTTCTAACAACCTCCAGAGCCTAGAGTAGTTTATTCGCCCGTTACTGAAAACAGCAGAGGCAGAGAGAGATCATTAGAATCTAACCGTAAAAACACACTTGGCCCATGAGGCGATGGTCCATGAAAGATAGCTTAACTTCGTACATGGGTATACTACAAACGAATTCAGAACAAGTACACTGAAAAAAGCAACCATGAACCCATCAGAGGATAACCGTTCCTCTTAGTTTCATCTTACGGGCATATGAATTTCACAGCTTGAGTCAAATTATTGGCCTCTTTGTAAGATTACTGAATGGTATCTTTGTGTTGAAACACCGATGATGACATCAACTGAACGAAACGAATGAGTTCAGTCATGTTTTGTGGAGACGGGGTATGTTTCGTTTGTCCTTTCACTTTGGCCAATGAAATTTCTAACACTGGGAGAGTGCAACCGATTAAGTGAACTGCAACAACTAATCTGACTTTTGACAAAGAGAACCTGTGTACAAGAGACTCACAAGGCAGCAGGACACAGCGTCATCTGCAAGTGAAGAATATCCGTAGAAAAGCTTACAATCACACAACACTAAGTTTATTTTGTTCAAATGATTATCCCTTTTATCTACGGTTGCACATCTCATACTACGTTCCATTATCCTAATCGTTGAGACATACTATTTGGAAGGTATTCAGTTCACGAAGCAACTTGGTAATGCAGCAGCGATAGAAAGTAATTTAACTGCAGCGGGACTGCAGCTGAGGTAATTCGGTTAGGCGTTGCGCTTATATATAATGAGGCATTTTAGTGTATTGTGAAGATACTTCCTTGTATAGGTAAAGATACTGTTGTTAAGGGGACTTTTGGGAACCAGACATGGACAACCCAACCGTGGGAGCCTTCATCGGCTGTCCCTGCACGGCGCCAGTTTAGACAGGCTTCTACGTGTATAGTCGTTTTCAGTTTTTTCTCACAACATTGGTTTCTGGTATGCCTTGCCATTCAGAACAGAAGTATGGTTTAGTTTGTATTGAATTAGCCAAGTCTTTTGTGATGCTATCATCGATTTTAACTTTTGCCTATGGTACCATAACTATCGCATCGCTATCTATACAAATTTAAATAAGAGTGCGGCACTCGTCCCGTGATAGCTCAGTTGGTAGAGCGGAGGACTGTAGATGGCGCAGTGATCCTTAGGTCGGTGGTTCGAATCCGCCTCACGGGAGCACTTTTGCACAGAAACATGGTGCTAAACCGCGTCCGTTGTTCCAGCGCCCGACGGTTCAAGTGGCTGGTCGATAGCAAACAATTATTGGGAAGCCGAATGGGTTCTTGGGGGTCTTAAGATCAGGAGTCCAACTGTGTGTCTATGTCACTCTTCACAAGAGATGACTGATTCGAATAAAATCCAGACTATACAGCCGTGGACTATCCGTGGACGTGGTAACCCACGGAGTATACACAAGGCCATCCTCCCTGGTCTGTATACGACAGTGATATTGAGATCTGGTAATTAGTCTTTTGTTTATGACATGGTTTATCTACAGCTGCCCCACTCTACTATGTAGGACTATTCCTTTATCTGGTTTGATGCGATTCGCTGACATTCATTGGTGCAACATGTGTAAACAATCTCACTACTCATTAGTAGGCAGATAATCTACTTTTCCAGAAGCATGTGAAATCACTTGGTGGTGCTGCTTAGGTTGTAGCTACCCTTTCGCCACACGTATGACTGTACAGGTCACCGACACTCGCTAGATCACGAGATCTGCCTTTTTTTCTTACACTTACAAATCACGCCACAGAATCGTGACTTACTTGACTACACAGCTCACAGTCAAGCCCTTGATCCCAAGACTCGTCTTCCTTTCCCTAGGTGACTGATCTGACATCGACGGTCTACCGTCCGATGAGGTAGCAACAAGTCATGTGCTGGCACCCACACACACATGCAAACGTTCCTACACATATGACAACAGCACAGCAACACAACTCAACAGAGTTCGCACGTCGCCCAACTTGGAGCAGAGCCGCTCATGGTAGAGCATTAACAAGGTCAGGCGATTAGGCATTAGCATAGCTGGTTTAGCTATGCACAGCAGTGAACGAAGCATATTCAGTAATATTTTAAGTATCCCTCAATGAAAAAGGACTGTACCGCTTGATAAGACTGTCACTGTAAGTTTCGTGTTACGATGTCTACCCAGCTGACTGAGCTTCTTCGGTCCATCCAGGTTCCTACCTTTTTCAGTCTACGGGATGTACATGAACTCCCTGCATTCCCTTACGTGTTCATCCGGTCTAGCATGTGGATATTACAAGGGGGTTCCTAAATTTGGTGTTTGAACCAACAGGTGCTACACTTTGCGGACTACGTTGTGCACTGTCATGGCTGGCAAGGTCTCGATCTCTGAAAACCCTGTGCACACGTTCATCAGATCAAAGCACCACGGCCTGCCGGACGACCCACGCCACAGGATACGCTATTTGATCTGAAACAACTCTTTTCTTTGTGTTCGAGAAACATTATGTACCATATTCCAGTTGCCGCCGTTATCATTATTACTAATACCAACAACACCCTGATGCTATGCTGCCGTACACTCGTACCTTATTGTGAAGAAAAATGAACGTGGATGGGAAGGAATCTAGCGCCAGCCTACTACAGTCATTGTGAAGTGGCAACACCTCCAGACGATTCCGGTTTTACTAGCAATCATAATGACGCAAGCAACAAAAACAAAGTAATCTTCAATTAGAGTTCCCGTCGAATAACAGAAGCCATGTTTTCCAACCATCGCATCGAGGATTCGAGGACACCAATTCTAAATCAGTGGTTGTCAAAGACCTGAAGACATCTCAGCTTCGTTTCTCGCAGAGGCCACATGTCAAGGACATATAATGAAAGAACTTGTACTGTAGCCAGCTATGCTCGTCCGCTGAAATTCAGGGATATGCCAATTAGCCCCCTCCTGGCATCCAAACTAACGTTAATAGGGGGCGGTTGTTAAAAAGAAAGGACTAGTCAGGACGCCAATGGAGGGGATATGAATATGGGCCCAGTTAACCTGCTTCTTTCTGTAGTCTCTGTCCATTGTACACGCCGGAAGGAGGTAGCGTTGTGGGGGTGCTGATGTTACTCTAATGACCAGAATGTGCCTGATTGCGGCCACTATCTCGGAATACAAAGAAGTTTAGAAGTGTTTAGAAGTCACAAATATCGCAATTCAACTTTTTGATCGCCCAGGGTGTCGAAATACAGCAGCTACTGGGACTTTGGTTACAACTCAAATAATCTGTGTTGCACGTGGGACAGTCTTTCAGCATCATGCTGAGTTACCTGTGAGTGAGGCTTTACTGTCTGAAATAGTTTGCCCTAATGGCTACTAACTTGGGCCAATTTTAGCTTAAAGACGATGTGCGTACTTTCCGAAAATCAAAGCCAGGCCACTAACTAAGGGGTGACCAATAGAGACGGCCCACGCTGAATTCTAGTGTGATGGAAACATGAGATAGAGAAGCAGGACACGAGATTTTCGAGCATGAATTGTGGTCTGGAGACCAATCAGGATAACCAACATTAAGAAACATACGCGTATTTATCACTCCTGGCCATTTTCTTGTCAGCGAAAATTGTTCGTTTTACTATTATTCGAAAGATGGGGAACAGTGTGATAGAATGCCAAAGATGGGGTTCGAAAACTGGCTTGATGTGCACTTCAATGTGGGTGCAATTTCTACGCGGTTATGAACCTATGGGGAATAATGCTTTAAAGGCTCTGAAGCGCCAATCACCACAGCCCATTTTCGCAGCAGTTTTCGCGTACTTTCTCTGAAAAGGAGACACGCTGATGAGAAAGAGAGAGTGCTTCTCAGAATAGGGAATTCAGGTTGCTGGACACAATCCAGTTGTGTCGAAGCGACATGATGCATACATGACAAATCCACCAATCAGACTTGCGAATGGGACGTAGTTTTCGTTCTCAATACAGCATCAGCCTGCCTTACCTGCTTAGTCCTCTGTTCGTGTTTCAGATGTCGTTCGTCTTCTCCATCCGTATACCACTCATTGGCTGGGATGTAGTCGGAGAAGTCAACGTATGGCATAGGAGTTTCACTGTCATCCGGGGTCCACCACTCCAACTCAAGTAGAGTCTTGTCGTAGGTAAGTGATCCAAACTCAAGCATACACACCTGCAAAATGGATGCGTAATCGGAAACATAAGAGTGTAATTCATATGGCAATAACTTTGGTTTGTCCACATTCAGTGAACAAGGTCAGTGATCAGTTTCCTCACTAATACCCGGCAGCTCATTCAGCGCGATCGAGTGTGCCTCTATCCTTACTTTTGACACCGTACGCGGGGTAGTCAAGCCTCAGAGGAGTCAGAAGCGACTTTTAAAACGAAAAAGCTCAGAACAGTCAAGTCAGAAAACGGAAAAAACGACTTCTGCCTAGCCACTAGTCTTGTATTCCGGGTGCATAACCTTGGCAAAAGTAGGTAGCTCCAAGAAGAGCGAAATCGGTCGTGGGCTGTCGAAGAGTTTTCAACAACCTTGTGAGTATTTGTAATGTACTACTCATAAGGTTGATGAAAATCCATCGACAGCCCACGACCGGTTTCGCCCTTCTTGGGGCTCGTCAGCTAGGCGCAGTCCATGAGATTCCATCAACCTTATGTTCTACTTGAAACCAAATTGCACGAAATTAGGCAATGTGCTGCATCAGGCCGCCTCATGTTTCAGTCGCTACGATATTTGAAATATCGCCTGAGAACATCATAAACGAGAGATTCAGCTGGGTTCCAGGTGAGTCTCTC